GTATATATCTATGATTTTACATATGCCTCCACAGTACACTGCAGACGTATTGTCTAGACGCATTGTCTGGTTCGCTTGATACAATGTATACACAGGTTCACAATTATGATCAACATCGGCCACGCTTGCGCTTGCAAATATGCTATGCCTGCTGTATAAAAACGCTAGTGTGGCATAGTAAATTAGTAACTAAGGGCGCGCTCTCGCACTCGCTCAGATGCGCTGCCGTATAAAGTTGATAATTCAACAATCACTATCCCGATTATGACGATTTTTTTTTTACTATCCCGGCGGGATACCAAGCATTGAAATCTGGTATCCCGCACAAGAATCTGGTATCCCGCGGATATCGGGATACCGCTAATTTCGACCCCTGTTATTTAGCATCAGGGACTCTATATCGTGAGTGAGTCAACTCTCTGAACATTAAAGGTTGGTCTTAGAATTCTGAACAATCATAAATTTTAACAAATTTTTCGTCTGAACAATATGCCCCCCCTACATGAAATATAATTATTGAAATTGTGCATAATGACTAATGTAAACGCTGTGGCTATATGCCCGGCAGCCGGGCACGGTCTTCGATTTCATAAATGCCCGGCAGTTCCTAACCCTAACCCTAACCCTTGTTTACTTGAGATAACGCTAAAAATTAAAAACTGCCGGGCATTTTGGAAATCGAAGACCGTGCCCGGCAGCCGTTAGATATATGCCGGCTGCCGGGCATATAGCCACTCTGTAATGTAAATGGTCATGAATGATTGAAGGCTTGAATATATGATGTTATGTTATTTTATCTTATGTTATGAATTGTCTCTATGTACTAATACTAGTTATTAAATAAAATGAAAAACTACACGTAAGTTTGGTCTAGTTTATTTGGTTAGCTAGTCTACCAACTAAAAGCTAACTTTAAAACCTATCATTAAATGTACGGTACCTGAGTCAGTCAAACTGAGCATCTATAGCAAACGTTGTTTGTATTGTACGTGTAACCTGCCATTTTTCTAAATGAAGTATTTTATTTCAACAGTGGAACGAGAGTAAGCAATGACCAGTGGAGCTACACAGGCTGTATCCAGCGCGGATATTGTGATGTCAGAGCCACGGCATCACAGCTGTATAAAGCACAATAGCCACTCTTTCACACAACAGAGTGGTGCCACATACTCTATTGGTGGAGGTCACTCTTGTGATTTGTTTCACTTTAAGCTAAAGGATGTAAACAGCAGAAGTAGTGTGTTTAGGTAATCTACAATAATCTCTATATATATATTCAGTTTATATGTTCATAGTTTACTACTTATTGTAGCAATAACCCCCTAGGAGTTTTTAATTAATAATACATTAATTTGTACACATGTTAACAATTATTAATTAAGTAACAGAATATGTAAACTTTAACTGTGTATGATTTATGACAATGGATCTCACAAAGTACAGTTGCTGCAATAGGAGGCAATTTTTGCACCAGGATTTTGCATTCCTTAGAAAACTTATACCAACAAACATAAAATCTTGTAAAAATTAATTTACAAGCTACACAGCTTGTAGAATCGCATGAGCGTGCGTGCGTCCGGCCGTGCGTCCGTCCGTCCGTTCGTGCGTCAACAGTTGGGCACAAATCTTAACCGCTTGACGTACGGTCACGATATTCGGGACGTCGGGGGGATCGTCAAAACGAGTTGGGGTTTTGGAGGTTGGGGGTCAAGGTCAAAGGTCAAAAGGGTGTAAATGAAGGGGGAACATTTCCTTCTTAACTTAAGGTATAGGGAGGAAGTGCAGAATTGCACCACAAATCTAAACGGCTCCACCTAGGCTCGTGATAGTCGGTGTACAGCATCATGGTAGGAAAAGCCATCACTGTGCCGAAATTGGAGGTCACAGGTCAAAGGTCAATGGGGCACAGGGCAGATTTTAGACATTTTCTGAGGACATGGTCTGATGGAGCGATTGAAAAACTTTTTTGTTTCAGTGCCAGTGGTGACCTAGCATTTTTATGGCTTTCTTGAAAGGACCATGAAATGTAATTTCTGCTGACATGCGAAGAGTAAGTGTCGGATAACCTTTTGACCCTCAAGAAGCGGGTTAAACATAGATTTCTTTACTGTTAGAAAGAATTTGACTGCCGGGTTTGCTAGTAGAATCTATACATGCCTGGATGTATGAGGCTACAATGTCACACTGGAATTTCAAAAGCTAAATTTGGTTGAAGAAGGTTTATGCTCCTTAAATCGTATAATTTCTATGGCATTCTGTACTGTCAGTGTGTTACATGTAACATATGCCACTGCCAGTGGCCACTGCCAGTGCCAGTGCATGTGGTGGTGGTACTGTGTAGTTTTTGCCTGAGTTAATTAGTTACAGGTGGCAGCTCTCTATTTCAACCTGTAGGCTTGCGTAGGTAAATGGATGTGTGCTTACCTATTCCGTCTTGCAAATAGTTGTTACTACTACGTACGATGGGAGCTTCCATCTTTAATCTGAAGACACTTAAACGTACGCGCCATCTCGTGGCAACTTTCATAACGATCCCAACGAACATTCCTTTGAGAAGGTTCTTGATACCATCCCTGTGCCTTCCACTGTTTCGGCGTGTATGTGAACACATTTGGGACTAACAGGGTTTACTAGAATCCCACCACTCCACCACAGAGTCACCGCAGTAGACGTTAGATGAGCGCTGTCGCTCCGCGGCACTTGTTTCCCATAGAAGGTACAACTATCGGGTATATAAATATCTATTGTATAAACATAATGATATCTGGGCCACTCCTTGTTGTTAGTTCCTCCTTGGGCTCCTAGGCAAAAAAATAGTGGGAAAGTACTTGTAAGTGACAGAATAAATGGTTATATTGTTGCTGTTTCTTAGGTGTATCAGAAATGAACAGATTGGTCCCTGGAAATGGAAACCACGGTCCATTATCAGTGACTATGTTGCGCATCAGATGCCTAACCTCATGCAGGAAACAGTGATTCCCTTAGGTGCTTTAAATAAAGTCTTCTCTTCGCATTGGGTGGATAGCAGAAATGTGGTCTGTGCAACAAAGTGCAATCAGGTAATAAAATTTAATTACTACTTTGTTATTAATTATAGTTTCATTACATTACAGTGATAATATCTCCATATATATATACATATATATAAGTGAGATACTTAGAGGAGTTCCCTGCCGTTATCGCTCTACAGCGTACATTCCTGCGAATGCAAGTGCAGCATGGAAAGACCAATTAATCTGAAACTATCCGTCTATCCCTTCATCAATCTGTGCTTCCACCTGTATTTCTGTTTTCATCAGTGTGAATAGAGATGATCGGAGACTTTATCTGTTACTTACTCCTCCACTTCCATCATTCCGAAAAATGTGGTCTTTGTTGTTGACACATCACATGCTGTAGCTACTCTTGGTCAAGTTCATCACATTACCGTGTGATCTGCGATAATAGCAGAATAACCATCCTACTAATAGATGGCCACTGCATGCGGCAATGTATACAGTGATGCAACAGCATTACTTTGAAATGTCGTAGAACCCTCTAGTGTCTTTCAATATCAGCTACGTTGCTGAGTCCTCGGTCAAATTTAAGGTCTTACCTACACCTTTCCTTTCCATTTTCATACGTTTCCCATCAATGACAGCACAGCTCCTAGTCCTGCATCATTAAACCTTTAGCTTTTTACCTTAATTTGTGGTTAAATGTGAGAAAGATAACTTATGTGATATATATTCAGGGTTCTCCAAGAGCACTTATAGCCTGGCGGCCCGCCAGGCTATCGTCGAGCCCTGCCATCCTAAAATGCACCCGCCACTATAAATATCATAGCCCCCGGACCCCCTAGCACGCAAACCGCCTTCGGCGATTTGCAATTAGGACCGTAAAGGCAGCACCCGCCATGCTATAATGAAAAAGCTTGGAGAACCCTGATATTATAGTGTAGCATGTATGTTTGCATGCTTGTGTACGTGCATGTTTGAATGTGTATCGGTGTGCCTGTGTGTATGCATGTGCATGTGTGTGCTAGGGTGTGTTCACACATTTCCTGTTACTATACTATCAATCACAGATTATTTCATATCAGATCTTAAACACCTTGTCCCACTTTTTCCCCGGGCAAAACTGGGCACTTTTGCTAGTATTTAATGATTGTAATTCATGGCAATGAAGCACAAACCTATTGCTAAGTACTATGGAGTTGTGAGTGTTAAGCGATAATAATTGTTTTTTTTTAATTTAACTTTGACACATTGTTAATAATGCACACAATTTGTGTTATTATTATTAATATTATCATGTTTGGCAAACGGTTTTTCACCAACACAGATTAAATGTTTGTGTATAAACATAGAATCCTAAATGTGCAGCTAGTAAATAATATAAAGTTGGTCTTAACCATTTAATCGGAATTGCTACAGATATCTAATTAAGTTGTCGAGCCTACATTTTTATCACTGATTTCTTGTCCCCCCACGATTACGGTGATTTGAATGTCATCTCCGTTGTTCAGTTGTTCGTAGTTGACACGAAGACGTGCCGCAAGACGTTCATTCCGATCCTGAAGTGCAGTTCGATCAACGAGGACCCAGACTCGCCATGCGGCATTCACACAATCGCCGTCAATCGCTCGCGAACATTCCTCGCGACGGGTGCTGAGCACACAAACGCGGTGGCAGTCTACCGGCTGCCGACCTTTGACCCTGTCTACGTTGGCGAGGTGAGCACGTGCACACGGACACTTGGTTCAAAGCCGACGATGTTGTAGACTGGTTTACTGTCTCTTCCGTTTTGTAAATAGAGATAGGCAACAGGTATAATGTATAACATTGTTTTTTATTTGTCTAATGTTTTTATATCATAACTGCATGGTTGACCGTATGACCCAATTATTCTGCGTCATAATTGGCGAATAAGCTTGCTATGTAAACAAGAAATAGAATCCGACGTTCGTGTAGCATCATGTTTTTCTTATAGAAATGATATACTATAGCTCGGCTCTCTATGCATTTATGTTTACGTTTCTATGGTTTGTCTAAAGAGTCAAATAAATAGACCATTTAATGAACTGGACAAACGCCACAGTTGTCCACTTCACTGATAGTACAGGCATTATAGGCATTGCTTATCCCGATTAACAATGTGAAGAGACGGGGGAACCAGTGAACCCATGTTGTAGTCTCGCACAAATTCTTTGCAATGTAAATTCAGTGGACAACGACAGCTGAAGGTAATGGAGCAAGAGGGATGCACGAGAAGATTATGAGATGCTGCGTGTTCACATATCATTGTTTATATTCAGTTTAATTTTGTGATTTTGTGATTTTCTCTTTTATAGACATGGTAATAATTATGTGAGCCATGGTTTCTTGTTTTCAGTGTGGTCACAATGACTGGATATTTGACATTGTCTGGTTAGATGATGAATTCTTCATATCAGGTACAATACATTCTTCCTTTTGTTTCAATTGTATATAGTATCATGAACCTATGCCAACTGAAATTGTAGATGTCATTACTCGTGGGTTAATAATATTGTAGATGCAGTGGCTCCATCTGTAGTTCAATTTTCGGGGGGCAATATTCCAAAGTAGAATCAAATTTATTTTTGCAAGTGCAATTTATTACCTTCAGCACATAATAAATACAGGTGAGTGTAAGGGTTGCAGCCATACATGTTATTGAACACGAAATATGAACTACTCACACAGGCATTCTTCTCCTGTATCATATTATTCATAATTATAACCTCCGTCGACATAGTCTGGCTTTTGGTGCATCGATGTATGATATCGGTTGCACATTATAGGTGCTCGAGACAGTAAACTTGCATTGTGGCGTGTGAAAGATGACGTGCCACAGGCGGTGACCTCACTCGCCTGTCTCGGAAAGTATCCCATCGTAAGACCACTGAGTGTTAAGAAGTGCCAAAAAGCAGAAAAAGTGAGAGCTCTGAGCTACAACAATCATACACAGGTTTGCATTAATATCTACTGCTACTACTTCTGAATGCCTTTAGCCTCTGCTGAATCATAAGAGACAATCTTAATTAGGCTTGAAACGTGGAATGCGTTCACATAGCTTATTAAACCAATTTCCTCCTTACCTGTCACTGTGTACCAGGTGCTGTTTGTAGTGCTGCATCAAATTTTGCTGGAAAAGTTACAATAGTAGCTAAATTAGATTACACTTGATTGCCTTAATATTTTATTCAGTGTCTGGTATGTTTCTGCTTGAAACCAAGTATGGGTAATTTGTGAATTGTTTTTTTTTACAGGAGCTGGTGGTGCTATCCCTGAGTGCCTACCTTCACATATTCGATGCCCAGACCATGAAGCAGGTCAGTATTACAACACATTTAATTCTAAGTACACCGTTTATTATTTATAACATAAGTGTTTTTAAATGGTGTAATAGATAGATGGATGCATTAATAAGAAATTATCTGCTTTCAATTTTTTTGATTCGACTGTTACTAGTAACTTGGCTGTATTCATTTGTCTAAACGCTACTAGCGTATGGTCTTTGTATGATGAAACACTGCCTCCCATACCGACATCTTGTTTTTCGCCGCCGCAGAAATTCTCGCGGAAGTTGCCGTTCTGTCTTGAGAACGTCTGCCTGACGAATCACGAGGACTACGAGCTCTATGCCGTCGGCAGCAAGTCCCACGTCACGTTTCTCGACTCGCGCACACTGAAGCCTGTCAACTACATCGTGTCACCGTACCGGGGCTGCGGTAAGACTGCTGCAATCGAGCGGCGCGCTGTCACGCACTGCCGTGAAACCAATGCACGCCGGTGTTTAATTTACGTAAATTCAATTGGGTGGTCGATGTCAGTTCACCTACGTAGATGTGGTGTTGTTGCACACGTTTACATATATTAATGTTGTTTTATATGTATCACATGATTTTATGTGACATGGGATCAGGAGTATATAATCTCAAAGGAGTTTTACGGATTTTTCACTTTAAATCTTGTCATAAATAAAAACAACCGTGGCAACAAAGTGCCGTGGAGCGACAGCGCTTATCTCACTTCTACTGCGGTAACTCTGTGGTGGAGTGGTGGGATTATAGTAAGCCCTGTTAGTCCCAAATGTGTTCACATACGCGCCGAAACGGTGGAAGGCACAGGGATGGTATCAGGAACCTTCTCGAAGGAATGTTCGTTGGGATCGTTATGAAAGTTGCCACGAGATGGCGCATACGTTTAAGTGTCTTAAGATTAAAGATGGAAGCTCCCATCGTTTGTAGTAGTAACAACTATTTGCAAGACAGAATAGGTAAGCACTCATCCATTTACCTATGCAAGCCTACAGGCTGAAATAGAGAGCTGCCACCTGTAACTAATTAACACAGGCAAAAACTACACAGTACTATCCTGGTACTATCACCACCACATGCACTGGCTGTGGCATAAGTTACATGTAACACACTGACAGTACAGAATGCCATAGATATTATACGATTTAAGGAGCATAAACCTTCTTCAACCAAATTTAGCTTTTGAAATTTCAATGTGACATTGTAGCCTCATACATCCAAGCATCAGGGGCGTGTACATGGGGGGAAAGGGGGGGGGGTCTAATTTCAAAGTTTTTCTGGGGGAGCCCCAGACCCCCCCCCCTTCGCGTGCTCGCAAGTTTGGGTTACGGTTAGACCCCCTCCCCCCTGGTACAAATCCTGTACACGCCCTTGGGCATGTATAGATTCTGCTAGCAAACCCGGCAGTCAAATTCTTTCTAACAGTAAACAAATCCATGTTTAACCCTCCTCTTGAGGGTCAAAAGGTTATCCAACACTTACTCTTTGCATGTTAGCGGAAAGTACATTTCATGGTCCTTTCAATAAAGCCATAAAAATGGTAGGTCACCGCTGAAACAAACAAGTTTTTCAATCGCTCCGTCAGACCATGTCCTCAGAAAATGTCTAAAATCTGCCCTGTGCCCCATTGACCTGTGACCTCTAATTTCGGCACAGTGGTGGCTTTTCCTACCATGATGCTATACACCGACAATCACGAGCCTAGGTCGACCCGTTTAGATTTGTGCCGCAATTCTGCATTTCCTCCCTATACCTTAAGTTAAGGAGGGAATGTTCCCCCATCTTTTACACCATTTGACCTTTGACCCCCAGCTTCGACATCCCAACTCGTTTTTGGATTACCCCCACCACGTTCCGAATATCGTGAACGTACGTCGAGCGGTTAAGATTTGTGCCCAACTGTTGACGAACGCACGCACGGACGCACGGCCAAACGCACGGACAATCATCCGATTCTACAAGCTGCACCTGACTACGTCAGATGAGCTAAAAATGCATATGTGTAAACTGTGTAACTTGACACCGTGTTTGACTACAATTTACAGAACTATGGAAGTTAATAGCTATAAACTGATTTCAGTAGAACTACAAGATAGGCAAATAATAAAGGTACGAAGTAAGCTCAATAATATATATAGACTTATTTATTATTTGTGGCAAAATTTAAAATGGACAATCGATAAAAACACGGGAAATGCGTGTCAAACTCCTTTTAGATTATTTACTCCTGATAATTTTTATTAGTATTAATGTGGTGTTGCTTGCAGGTATTCGCTCAATAAGCTTTCAAGGTAACATCTTAACAGTGGGAACGGGCACCGGCTCAATTTTATTTTACGACATCAGACAACGAAAATTCTTAGAGTGCCACTGTGGTCAGATGTCCAGTTTGATGGTTGGCCCAGGCTACTTGGTGAGTTGAACCTATTGACCTTATACCGAATTTCTAGTGATTATTCATTGGGTATGTCAGTTACAAGTAGTGTGCTATGTAAGAAACGACATAGACTACGTGCATAATGAATTGAAAAGCAGGACGTCGAAGTCTTTGCGAAATCATAAAAGTATTGTCCTAATATCCTGGTTTGTTAATCTGTCGACATGTTGAGCTGCGAACTGTACGTAATGCCTTGCCCTGCTTATTCAGCACAGAGACGAAGTCTACCAAGAACTCTTCGCAGGCGAAGTGTACCGTAACGCCATCTATACCCACTGTTATGATGCAAGTGGCACGAAACTATTCGCTGCTGGCGGGCCACTGCCAGCAGGACTGTCGGGAAACTATGCCGGAATCTGGCAGTAGCATCATCCATAGCGTGTCGGACAAGGCAGAATTGTGAGGCAACTACATGAGTGCAACAGACCGGAGAAGTGCAGAGACCAGACGAGTAACAATAAATCACACACAAACTTACAGGAAGCCGATACAGCAAGCTTTGGCTCACAGTCTCTATCTTGACCTGCTGCTGCTGTTGCTGCTGCGACAATACACCTGACACACGAGTGTGGAATGATCTCAAAGTGGTGACACCAGGTGACACCTCAGTCTTGCGCAGTGTGTCATACATAACACTGAGCTCTGCGATGAGCTGGTTACGGGACGTACATTCCTGCTTGTTATGCCGACCCTGACATGCAGGCACCACACATGGAGGTTCCACGTGCTGGTGTCAGTGGCATCTCAAACCTTCCATATAGATGCTAAGGTGCCAGATCACACTTCACTTCCCTTGATAGATGTCCCGAGAATGGACAGCACTCCGTGAAGCACTCATACGTTTATTTGTTTTGTTTATATATATATATGAAATCAGGAGTAGATAATAGGGAAGGAGTGTGACATCAATAAACAAAGAAAATTCGTCATTTACTAGCCTTAAAATACCTACGATTTACTACGCGTAACTCATCTAACTTGAGCTCAAATCGTACACAGTACATTCGCCTAGCATCGTGCGAAATCGTTTCCTCGTATACACAAGCAATCCGGAGATACAGACTAAAACGTACGACACGATTATCCATTCTTTGGCCATCAATCCGAGCCGATTGCCCGCCTATATTCAAACAAAAGGCAGCTACTAACGCGATATTGCTAACTCGGCGAGGCATGTGGCTCGCTGGGAGATTAGGCAACGCAACATTCGGCGAGATAACCTTTGACCCGGTACACAGCTACATACCGGCATACAGCTGGCATGCCCCCACCACTGATCTCTATAATATAGAGATCTGTGGCCCCCACGCACGCACGCCAACCGCAATCAGCAGCAGATCGGGCTCAAATCTCCCAGCGAGCCACATTGCCCGCCGAGTTAGCAATAGCGCGTTAGTAGCTGCTTTTTGTTTGAATATAATAGGGCAATCGGCTCGGATTGATGGCCAAAGAATGGATAATCGTGTCGTACGTTTTAGTCTGTGTATACGAGGAAACGATTTTGCACGATGCTAGGCGAATGTATTGTGTACGATTTGAGCTCAAGTTGGATGAGTTACGCGTTGTAAATCGTAGGTATTATAAGGCTAGTAAATGACAAATTTTCCTTGTTTATTGATGTCACACTCCTTCCCTATTATCTACTCCTGATGAAATGAAAAAGCGATATGTATAAATGTAAATAGAAACGAGTAGCTAATTATGAACGGTGTTATAACTAGGTTCTCATTCTTGCTCTCTCGCTTGCATTTAATTGTCCTTCCTTCCAATTCTTCATCTCCCTTGCTTGCTATCTCCTCTTATTTTACTCAACACAGTTGGCTACAAGTAGTTGAAATTCAGTGTCTGTCAATTTCCCAGAGCTTTGTTATACAGCCTACAGTCAAAGATGTCAATTACAGTAAGAAACGGCACGTTCACTCGTACTAGTAACCTGGGTTCAGGAATCTCATTAGCCACGTGTGACAGTTGCTGTTACATGCATCAGTGGAAACCTATCATCAAACTGATGTTTGCAAGACATTTTCAAAAACCATGGTAACAACCCATGTTAGAACGATCGAGCATGTGTAATTTATTTTTGCATTATATTGACACTGCAGGTTGGCTGGGCAGTGTCAGAACGGTACGTTCTTCTGTAATTCTGTATTAATTTCTGTGTTCGGTTTCCACGATGATGGCAGCTCACCTGCATCCCATCTAAACATATATCGAAATTGAAATGTTGGAACATGTAAATACAGAATGTTCAAATGAATATTAAGCAAACTATCGCGATAAACAGCCAACGTTCTAGCAGCAATGTTGGGGATGTGAAATGGTTGGTAGAAATGTAGGCTTAACTTATTTGTAAACAATTTCAGTACCGTACTGTATTCGTCATAATTTAAAAACGTGCGAGTGTAAACATGTACAGTTCGTTAGCATTAGGATTTATGAATGTATGATTCCAAATGATATATAGCTAGAGCTAAATATATTTATATGGGGATTTAGTTGAAATCGTGATTACAGTTGGTATGTAAACATAATTGGCATGCGTGGCAGTTTTACAAGATAAGTAAACCAACATGGTAACTATGTTTAGCTATTTTATTTGTTAAAACATAATTATTAACGTTTGAGGTTAAGCATCATAATATCAGGAGTCTATCAATATTGATAGACTCCTGATAATATTACTATGGTTTATAACACTTTGTAATTAGTCTCAAATGCCATTTGTTTGTATGTTTTGTGAATTGTTTATTTTCGCAGGCTTGAATGCAATAAAAGTAAAAAGTGTAACTATAATTATCAAAGATTTGGGAACGTTGGTCTATGTTTCATCACACACTAATGGCTATATACGTTTACCACGGCATTTGGGTATATAATCATATTTCCTAATCGCAGTTTTATCAATTTAAAAAGACACTCATCAGTACATAATTCCATAATTAAGTATTTTCTGAAAACACTTTGTCTAGACAGTCTGCAGCCCGGATATTCGCGCGAAGCGCGCCAACGCCGCCAGGGGCGGCATTCTTACACGATTTCGCTGCCACCATTCCATCACCTTCAACGGGTTTACATATATAAGGCAAGCAGCAAGCTCGCTGAGTTGAGCAGTTCTAGCGATTGGA